ATATTAACAATCGTTTGAAAAAAATTATTGTGGTTGGTAATAGGAAGAATGTTAATGATAATAGGTAGAAGCAGTGCAGCCTTCGTGGTTCACTGTTCCTTTCGTTTGTGGTATTATTGAGAAGTTTAGCAGATTGAATAGCGAGCGTATGAGGGTATCGTTCTATAGTACTAATAAATTGCGAGAATTTTTTAGAGTATATAAGGACTCTTTACCACATGACAAGAAGTCGAATGTTGTTTATAAGATCTCGTGTAAAAGTTGCGGTGTAAGTTATAGGACAGTTGTGTAGACAGTTGAAGTCAAGAATTACGGGGCATACGAACCACATTAGATGAAACACCTCTACTCGTAATGTCATAACGGAGCATCGGTTTCAAGAAAGTCATGATTTCGATTGGTACAACGTTTCAGTACTGGATGAGGAGCCTCACTACAGGAAGAGATTGATTTCGGAAATGATATTTATCAGAAGACAGACGCACGGACTCAACTTGCAGACGGATATGGAGAGACTTCCTAAGGCTTACTTCCCGATCATAGACAAGCTGTAAAGGCTTGGGTTGTTGTGTCATCTATTCAGTCAGTGTCGTTGATACGCAGTAATGAATCTTTCTGGCGTGATTTTTGATTACTTTCCAACTTTCATTTTTATGGAATTGATTAACGTTTCAATGCGAAATTTTTCATTTGTAAACTTCAATAATACTAACTAAAACTAAAAGTGACTCACTGTGTCTGACTGGCTAAAGTATCGAGAACTGATTTTTGAATGATTTATAATAATGTTTGCAATACAGTTTGCGATTTGTGATCGTCCTTTTTTCGAGATAATTAATTATAATCGTAAGGATTTTGATAAATTAGTTTTTCATATTTTCTCTATCGATATTTCCATTATTTACTTTTTTCGTTCATCTTTCTTTTTTCTTTTTTCGTTTTATTTTACTCTTTTTGGCGTTTAAACTCTTGAGATAGGGGATCTCACCATGATAGGATAATTTTTATTCATAGTTTATGTATGTTAATTTTTGTTGTCTCTGAGGAAGGCTCAACAGTGAATCGAAACATGTAGCGCGTTTTAGTGAATAAAGAAGTTTCACACTTCATAGATATATTATTTGCGCGATGTCTTCTGCGCTTGACTCTTACTGGCCGTATCCTTTCCAGATCTTTGAATTATAAGGCGTCTTTAATTTGTAATATGAATTTATTTAAATCTGATTCTTCTTTCTATTAGAAAAATATCTTTCTGTAAATATCTTTATATTTAATAGAAGAAAAGATGCTGTTAGAGAAGAATAATAGAGGAGAAGATGCTTATCTAACATCTCATTTACATTTTATACAATAACTATAGATTAATAATAATCAATATATAAATTTAAAACTTAATGATTACATACATCAATATATTATAATAAATGCTGTCTATTGTATTGTTACGTCCAAAGCCTTAAAACTAGGTTGTCTCAATGAGACAAGGAGGAAAAATGAAGAAGGTGTGGAAGGACGTGAAAGACTAGACTCAATACGCGGAGAGGCGAACACCTGTGATTCGTACGCATCTTTTCGGTCCCGGAATGTGGGACCATCCCAAAAGGACGCTATGATACCTGTTCTGAGGGACAGCCCGAACGTCGGTCCTACTTTTTGGGTCAAGAAACTTAATCTTTTTGACCCGGGACTGGACTTCGTGCGATCTCAGAAATTAGAGGGAGATTGATGCAAGGGGTAACTTAAAAAAAAGTGGAAAGTAGCGATTTTTAATTAACAATTAGCTTACATTTATTTGAGTAAGGTTATTGAGCTTACGGACATTATGTAAAATAAAATAAAAATATCATTGTACATGTATTTGCAAGATGTGTGCGTGCGTGCGTGCGTGCGTGCGTGCGTGTGTGTGTGTGTGTGTGTGTGTGTGTATGTGTGTGTGTGAGGAAAGACAGGAAAAAAGGAGAAAGAGTTATTGGGGATTAGAGGCGAGGAAGGTGATGCAGGAGCACATCGGGACGAGGTACTTATACTGGACTGTATAAGGAGTGGCGTCTATTCTGCGTACTCGGACTAACACACTGTGCTTCCGCGGGGTCTCTATTTATAAATTTTCAATATTATAAAGTGGCTCAATGTTAAGAAGGTTAAGTAAAAAAGGAGCATACAGCCACACTCGAGATGTCAATAAGTTATATATTAATAATAAACATTCAACAAAGTAGACGTTCCGGTCACCATCTGACCATCCTCAGTACAATAATAAAAACCTAAATTTATTTAAACCTAGTTACATAATTTAAATTTATTCCTAATGTTAGTCAGTAATAATTTCTCGCTTCTTATTGTGCATTATTCGCCTCGGTATCCGCATTTTACAATATAACAATTTTGCAATGATTTTTGACAGAATTAACAGTAGACCGTCCAGTATTCTTCTTTAATTTGTTATGTGGAATCATTTTATTACTCTAAGCAATCCACCCCGATTGTAAACATTATCACCCTATACTCTATTTATACCCCGAAAAAATGAGCGCAGTGCCCTTTATCTAGGAAGCAATAGTTGCAATGTCTCGCGAGATTTATGATGTTTATAACGTCCTGTCGTTATTGATCTAAAGTGCATCGTTAAGGGGATTTCTAGAAGAAATGATTTATGTTTATCTTTAAAAGCCATGATTGCTTCAGACGAATCTGTTATTCTCGCGGAAAATGTGGTTAGGTAAACAGGCGGTTATCGTCCACAAGTATTTTTACATACAGGGCATCCGTTGTCAGTCGCGAGTCCGATCTTAGATAACGTTATCGTGGAAAGTTATCCCATCCGTTTTATGATTTTTTTAAACGCGACGTGGCGCCTGTTTTCCTAAGATAAAATATTTTTTCCTCGATATAATATTTTTTTGGCATTATATTCATTCAACAGATCAAACATTATGCATAGTTATTAAGTTTAATTATTAACCATTTTTCTTCCCACAGACTCTCAGAACCTGTACTTATAGTTCTTTTCGTACTTTGATTATCCATATTATTAAAATTAACTGTTTTATCCATATTATTAATATTAATTGATTTTTGTAGTATAGGTAATATTATATATTATTAGATATTTTATGGTATCATTCATACCATTGATCACGGAAAAATTTAATAGATTTAACAGCAAGGGCACAAAAGTTCTGTTTTATAGCACAAATAAATTTAAAAAAATTTATTAACTTTGCTGCAAATTCCTATGGGGAATTTTCCTATGGGTTTGCCTAACCATGGGTATTCATGGTAAATTTGACAGGTCCCCATGGGAGGAGGTTCCTTGTTATAAATTCCCATGAGTTTTTTCATGAATTCCTATAGAGGACTATAAGGAGCTGCGCACAATGAAAGAAACAGAGAACAGGAAACAGAATAAGAATTTTAACCTATCAGAAACTGTGTATTCCACAATACATGATTTCTGGTAGATTGCAATTTCTATTTTCTGTTCTGTGTTCCTTTCATTGTGCGCCCCTAAGATTCTGTAGGAGCTTGTAAACAATTGATGACAACAGAGAAAAATATCAGGGCGCTCCTCGTCTCAAACTCAGGCCTGGTCTCTCCTCCAAGCTAGTAAACTTCCGTCCTGCCACTGAGCCACACAGCTCTGACGCTGATAGCTTCTCCGTTGTGCTTATTTCCTCTAAATTTTTTACAATAGGTATTTACGCAGCATGTATATAGGCTAATATAGGAAATTTTTCTACAAGATTTTACATAGGAATCTATGGCATCAGTCCATGAAAAGAGATTCCTATAGGATCGCTTGGGAAAAATAATGATGTGCTAAATGATGTGCCTGAATGATAAACAGGATGTCTCGTATTTGGGACTATTTTTGTGCAGATAAAGTAGACTAAACTGAATCAAAAAGTCCTGTACCATTTTGCAATTTTCAAAATAGTTTCTAAAAATGGCCGAATAAACGGGTAAAATCGATGCATAAGACAACTTTAAGATATTTTTCAGAGTTCTTTATGACATATTTTAAAAATATTTTTTCAAAGAACTTTTAAAGATATCTTAAAGTTGTCTCATGCGTCGATTTTAAACATTCTGTTAATTGGGTAATAATTGCAAAAATTGCAAATGATAGAGGACCTTTTGGTTCAGTTTAATCTGCTCTATTTGCACATAAAAATAGTTACAAATATTTTGAGATACTCTGTATAGTCCCAAAATAGTCACAAATATTTTGAGACACCCTATATAGTCCCTATAATATATATTTTAGAGTGTGTACACAAAATGCTATATAATCCTAAAAAATTATAAAAATGAAAAGGTCAGGCCATGTTCAAAAACAGATCTCCAAAAATATAAATCTTTAAAAGTTTAAATAATTATCTAACAATATATATTACCATGAAAAGTAACTAATGTATTATTCAAGGTTCCAGTTCAAAGTGAACATACATAATATACAAAGCGTATTCTCAAAAATGTAAACCTTTAAAAATTTAAATGATTATCTGATAATATATTACCATGACAAGTAACTGATATATTAAAGATACGAGTTCAAAGTGAACATACATCAAATGTATCCTAAAAAATTTCAACCTTTAAAAATTTAAATGATTATTTAACAATATATATTACCATGACAAGTAACTCATATGTTATTAAAGATGCGAGTTCAAAACAAACATATATACATACAAGTAAAACAAATTAAAAAATTTAATTCTAAAAAATAAGTGCGATATGTTATTCTTAGTGCACAAAATATAAAAGTCGTTTATTGAGATTTGATTTGAAATTTATATTAGCCCATACAATGAAAAATAATTGTTTGTAATTCCAGAGTACCAATTTATTAATGACTCGAAAAAAAAGGCATATTAAAATAAAAGAGTTATGAAAATGATTCAGATTAAAAGCTTCCAATCTGTCGTTACTAAATTTCGAATTTTCGTATCAACTTCCGATTTTGAGTTTACCGTTCAGCGAGTAATTTATTGATTAAAAAACGTTGTCTTATTGCCTGAAACGAGCAAATATTAAGTAAACCCAAAATTCATAAATAAAAAGTTCTCGGTTCAAGTACAAAGAAGCAATACGGTTAAAGAAGCTATACACTTTTTTCAAATGTATTCTGATCCAATGTTTAATCGTTTCAATAAGAAAACTTTTTCCTGTACCAACCTCGCCTTACGTACAGTCGCAGAATCTAATTTTTATTTTGTAAAACTATACTCTCTCGAAGATTCTTTTCTAGTCTTCAATCGCGACATCATTTGCGATAAATCAATTGGGGCATCAATCTTACCAAAATCTACCAGATCTCTCATCGCGTCATCAGCTTCTATCGGATTGCAATCCAGTTCATTGTCATCGGATTTGTTTCTGTCTACTATTTTCAGATTATTTTCGCTTATCAATTAATTCAGCAACGCGCTCAAAAGCTGTCTGTATTTTTTCGAGCCTTTCGTGATATTTCATCGCCTTCGTCAAAGCAGATTGAATTCTTAAAGGCATCCTTGTAATCTCGTATGCACCTTTGAGTTCACTCAAATCTCTTTACAGTTTAAACAGAAGAAGCAGCGAGTAAAAGTATTTCGGGTTCAGTTTTTACATTAAATCGATAATGGTTAATTAAATAACACTTTTTTCGTTTTTTTTTTAAATAAATATATACCCAATACAATATATAATACCCAATACAAGTTTGTAACATTCGACTTCGTCATTTTTTGACATCTGCCTCGTAATTTCCCAAAATCTGGCAAAATCAATGATTTTAATTCCTTAGGTCTGCTTGGATAGTAATTATCGATGAGAGACAGACAATAAATATTCGTAGAATTTTCATCGAGAGCTTTCAAATGTTTTAACTTTTCTGTTTCTTATCTCATTAACGTCAATTCATTTGACAATAGTATCATTGCCCTCGTATATACAAGGGATTCCCTAGCAGTGTGTCCGCAGTTTCTAAAGCATTACATTCTCTGTTATTTAATGAACGCATCGCAAAATTCCACAGTTTTGATGCCAAGGGCTTATTGCAAAGTCCATCATTGCAAAGTCTGTATTGCATTTTTCCGACTTTGTCGTATTTTGTTAAGTATGAGTTTAAAAACTCTGATTTTTCTCCAATAAATTGTATGGCCATATTCCCCTCCCAGGCTAACTTGATAGCCAGATTATGATTATTGATAAATGATCCTTTTTGACTTCTTGCAAGGAAGGTCATACAATCTGTTCTTACTGCGGAAAGGTTTTCTACCCACTATTGAAGTCATGACGTCTCTTAAAACAAAATTGTCAGTAACTAGCCAAGGAAAATCAAACCGACACTTTCTGCAAATATTTGTTTCGGTTTTTTTCGTACGCATGCAAAACGAGTTATGTTTAGTGATTCTGATCACTTATAACTGTTTTGTACAATGTTGGCGAAATGTTTTCATCTGGAATTTTGCACGTCACGTATTTTCGAATGAACGCAATAACTTCTTCCGGCAATTTTCTTAGCACTGGAGAATCTTTTATTCAAATCATACAATGTACGTGTTGGATACCTTGATATTCCAGTCGCTAGAAATAGTGAATGACCTCTCCTATTGGATTATCGGACGAACAAATAAAATCAATCATAGCTATAAATTTTATACATATGAATCTAAACGTACTTACAGAATTATATGCAATTAGTTCGCTGATGCCCAACTTCTGTTTATCAGGATTCATGTTTCGTAAATATTCATTCAAATCGGACTATTTCCATTCACTAGGACTCAAAGTTAAAAACCACGTCGTCGGATCATAATGCAGAGTCATGCATTTGACATTATTGGACGGTTGTTCCAAAATTGATTCGTATTTCTCAGTTTTGCAAAAATACTCATTAAAATTGATTTCAATTGTTGTTGTTTTTTTAATTCATTCAAGTATCTACCAGCAGTATATCTCTCTCGTAGGTTAGCAACCATCATAGTATAATAGATACCATTTTTCAATTGTCGGTAGTTAATATCATTGAAGGAAGAACAGATACTGTAGATTCAATCTGAATCTACTGTGTTTCGACAAATAAATAATACGGCAATGCAAAGTTCCTATCTTTCCGTTGTCCAGTGACACCCTCGGGATATAAATCAGAGAAATACATGACATCCAGATATTTAAAGATTATCCATTGGAACATCTTCAATTTTCAACATTTGATACAGCTTGAATGCAGATTCATTATCGACTCTTTTCGCGTGTTTTGAGTATATTGTATACTGATCATTAATACCCGAATCTTTAGTGATTTGTGAGGAAAAACGTTTTAAAACGCTTAATCATTATTGTGCTGTACAGTGTCAACCACCTCGTCTATTTCATCACTGTTGCTTTCGTCATCGATCCGATATTCTTGCAACTTATCATTTATAAAATCGTCAGACGACGCTGGAAGGCGAATTTCCGAGTAGTGGAGATTATTGTCTTTCAACCATTGTAAAGTCTTATACACTTTATCCACTAAATTTTTCCAAATAACTTTAGACCTTCTGAGTACTTCGAACGAGGATGTGCAACTCATGATACAAATTTATAGGATCTTCCGGAGGACATACCTTATCCAATGTTTCTTGTAAAGACAGAGGCAAATGAAATGTTCTACCTTTTTCTTTGCGGATCATTTGTCTGTGCGGCATATGATTGTTTGAAATAGCACCCATCGTTTGCACTATTTGGAAGCTGCTCACTCTTTTGATTAACATTTTTTTGTAACCATTGAAATTCGATAAAACATCTAATGGTTTTTACGGCAAGATTATTCAAAATGCAGTTTCATAAAAAATTTTAAGGTCTGATATATCTTCATTTATGTTTGCGTAACTTCATGAAATCTCCATGAGACCGTTTTTTTTTAAGTAGCAATCCGAAAAGTAGAGATTTCTACCTGTAAAATACTTTTTTAAACATCCCTATACGATAATTTTTGATGAAGTTATTGTATCTTGAAATTTGCCTATTTTTACAGAGTGAACAGATGTTGCGTTAATTTTGTTGCCCAGTGTGTATGTATTCACACCTTATCTGTGTTAATAAACTACTATATAAAACGAAGGAGCACGAAAGAACTAAGGAAAAGGTTTTGGAGGTCGCCTTATCTTTCCTGCTTCTTTTCTTTTCCAGCAAGGAGGATGCTTCTCAAAAACTGCATACTGCAGCGTATCACATTACAACCACATTAGCGTAGGCACAAACAGGCATAGTTCAGAGAAATATATAAATATATATATATATATATTGTATATATATATATATATATATATATATATGTATATATATATATATATATATATGCAAATAAAAATTTGTAAGTTAAAAGCTCATACAAGTTTCTGTTTTATTTTTATTTAAAAAATAATGATGTCTGAAAATTCTATTACTTAATTCAATTCAAATATACAATAAATAAACAAACAAAATAAACGGCGAAAGAAGAGTCGTTAGGTTAAAAAACATTTAATTAATTAAAAATATTAGACGAAGATACATGAACCAATACGGAGCGGTGCATATAAATGTATAGATGTATAAAAATGTATAAAAAACATAACAAGTTTCGGCTACAGGATTGAGCCCTCTTCAGATGTAAAGTGTGATAAAATAAAACAATAAATAAAAAAATAATTCATGTCGCAATCAACATAAAACGTAAAAAAGTAAAATTCGGATGGATCTCGAAAATAGGTACGTGCGATTGAGCAGTTCAAGTTGTCCATTATGAAAGCCAGATCGCTAGACAAGACCGAAAAAGAACTTGTAAGAAAAAACAGACTTTAGTAATTAGAACCGCCGCAATCACGATAAAATCGCACACTCACCAGCAAACTTGAACAAATCAAAATGATCCGCCGCACATGCAAAAGTGAAACAAGTGTAAACCGTGTACAAATGTAACACGCCGGCAAGACTGCACACACCAGAGCCGGACATGTCGGCGTCGCTCACGACGTGACCGCTCGCTTAAACGGAACACAACGCACTGAGAGAGGAGAGGAGACGGGCCGACAGAATCGAAAGTCATACTTTGTTTATGATCGGTAGATACGCTTTGTGAAGACCTTCGGTGTCAGTCTGTAGATTCAGACTATTTTTTTGCTTTTTAATATGCAACATTTCCGAGATCAACCGCTTTCTGTAAGAAGGTTCTTCATCCAGGATTTGAACATCGTCCCATTGAAAATCATGATCATGACGAAGTCTATGCTCGGTAATGACAGAGCGAGCAGAAGTTTTGTATCGAATATGGTTACGGTGTTCCGCAATTCTAGTTTTTAATTTTCTGCCCGACGTAAGACGCGTCGCAATCATTACATAAAATTTTGTAGACGACATTATTTTTTGATGTACGAGGACAAGTGTCCTTTTGGACTCTAATGTATTTGCTCATTTTATTGGGGCTGTGGAAGGCTACCCTGATATCGCCTTTATTTTTGCGCAATGTTCTGAATTTTTTTGTGTGAGGCGGAATGAAGGAAACCGTTAGCCAAGAGGTAGATTCCTTAGTAACGTCACTATCGGTTACAACGTTATGTACATTGTGTTTCTTTTTAATCAGATTTTTTATTCTTTGGTTGATAGAGTCAAAAATAAAATTAAGTGGATAGTCATTTAAGAGTAAGATATTAATAATGAAAGTCGAATTTTTGGTGTGAAATATATTGTCAGATAATAAAAAAGCTCTGTCGACCAACGAAAAGATGGCGCCTTTTTTCTTTGTCAAAGGATGATTCGAATGAAAGTTCAAGAATCTACCTGAAAACGTTGGCTTACGGTACCAGTTTAAATTACACCGATTTTCATTGATAGACACGGTAATGTCCAGGAAATTTGTCGTATTTCCGCCTCTTTCTACTGCAAGCGTGGATGGAATGAATTGAATTGATTTAGTAGCCCGTCGATTTGCGAGGGATGTACCGCAGTGCATATGTCGTCAACGTATCTATAATAAAATAATGTGTCAAAATTCGATGACATCAAGGACACCGTCTCCAATCTCCTCATCACTAAGTCCGCTATTATCGGTGATATTGGAGAGCCCATGGGCGTGCCAAAGCATTGCCTGTAAATCGCATTGTCGAAGGAAAAGAACGTGGAGTCTAAGACAAACTGTATTGCTCCCAAGAACTCTTTCTTAGGTAGGGAGCAATCGCTGGCAATAACATGCCAATGTTCGTTTACACAGTCAATCGCTACATCCATTGGCACGTTCGTGAACAAAGAGGTGACATCCAAAGATATTAGTTCGTGTGCCCCTGTGAAATGCACACTCCTTAATTTCTCGACTAATTCGAAACTATTTCTGACGTTACTGTCGGCCTTCGGAATGGTCTTAAATAATTTATTATGTAAGAACGTAGCCAAAGAATATAGCGGACTGCCCATCGATGACATGATAATTCTAAAAGGACAACTAAGCTTGTGTATCTTTGGCAGTCCATAGGCCCTCGGAAGAGATCCGACAGCGCTCTGTATTCGGAGTCCTTGATATGACCTCTCGTTTTCCATTTTGTGAGCATAGACCTTAAAGCTGTCGTAAGTTTTTTAGTCGGATCTTTTTTGATCCGGACATATGTGTCCGAGTTCCCCAACAACGCAATCATCTCATCTCGCTGACGTGACGCTCTGGCTCAGGAGCGTCTCTGTAGCTTAAATACGAGTATGCGGAAGTCATACCTTACGTTATTAAAGAATATTTTTTTCTTACAAAATAATTTTTATGTTCTTAAAAAAATTAACTATCAAATTTTCTGAAACATTTTGTCATAATATTGTAATTCATAGAAATGTTCGATTTCATATCAGACGTTCAATTACGTCTCGAACTTTAGTAGACAGATGACAATCTCAACCATTTTATTTTACTTTTTAATAACTATTCAACGATCAAAGGTCAACTGATGAAACTGTACGATGGTCATTCATGGTCATGACCTTCATAATGTGTGGAAGGTCAAAGTCATCGGAGGTGAATTGTTTAATTTAATTTTAATATTTTTTTAATAAGCAACGGTCGCCTGTTGAATTTGGTTACTCAGAGTCACGACAATATGAGTCATTTTAATTTTTTTTTATAACTTTGTAACGCGTGATGGGTTATTGCTACAACTTTTTGAAGGTTGTTCGGTGTGATGACCTTCATAATGTGTAGGAGGGTTAAGGTCATTGGAGATGAATTGTTCATTTTAATTTTAATATTTTCTTAATAATCAACGAGCGATTACTAAAACCCTTTGATGGTCATTTGGGTTGTGACCTTGACAATATATTGTCAAGGTCATCATAATCGGAAATGAGTTGGCTGTTTCATTTCTAATAACTTTTTAACGTGCAACAGAGATGACTGTCAAAACCTTCCGAAGGTTATTCATCATATATCAATATGATGACTTTCATAATGTATGTAAGAATCAAGGTCATCGAAAGTGAATTGTCCATTTTAATGATAATAATTTCTCAATAATCAACGAGCGACTGCCAAAACCCTTCGATGATTATTCAGGGTTATGACTTTGATAATATATTTCAAAGTCAACATTATCGGAGTTGAATTCCTTGTTTCATTTTTAATAACATTTCAAGGTGAGATAGAGTGACTGCTAAACCTTCAAGGATTTCCTTCAAGTTGCAGGAAATGTAGCAGAAAAACAAATATTGTTTGCCGCAAGTCTATGTTAAGTAATAATGCTAGATTGAAAAATGGAATAAAATTAAGTAAAAGTTATTGAAATGTTTAAAACACTGATAAAATGATTACTCAAAGTTTAAATTTCCATAGTTAAGAATCTTTCCATGGTTCTTATTTTATGAATCATCTGACTAAGTAACTAATTGAAAAGGAACATATATTTGTATAAAAGGAAATATATTTGTATAAAAAAATGCAAGGATGTGAAGTAAAGAAACGCCATAAATTTTATCATTTATAAAAATGACTTGATAACGATTTCATTGCAACGATAACTATTTTAATTTTGTGCTAAGCTTGGAAAAGTTACTTTAAAAAGTAACTCTTAATTATTTACTTACTTAAAAGATTATTTGTAATGAGTAATTTTGAAGATAAAAATTTTACTTAATTAGAATGACTTGATTATGATGATGCATCAGATATATCGAACATTTAATATCAATAATGGACGCTAAATTATAATCTTTAAAAATTTTCACTCAATTCAAATCATATATGTATAAACCTTGAACTGAACTCTGTTGTTTGAAATTAATAAGGGGAATTCAAATTCCAATGAATTATCTTTATTAATTTATATATAGTAGAAACTAAGTAATACGTAATGTAACGTACTAAAACATAGATATATTAATAACGTGAATAGCACACACACGCACGCACGCACGCACGCACACACACACACACACACAAAAAAACAACTTCTATAATATATAAATAAGATTAAAAGAATTTTAGAAGCAAAATACGATGGAAGTATGATCAATATAAGCACGTGCGAGCAATACGGCGTGCTGATTAGAATAAAATATACGACATAAATATTTAAGGTTTGTTTTGTGAGCGTGTGAAAATTATTAAGTTTATCTGTAGTACTGCAATACCATTGTAATTTCTTATAATGTTCACCATTCAACTTTTTTTTATGAGTGTATCATTTAAATTAAATTCATTATAAACATTTAGACGTTTTTTATTGTTTACGACAATCTTAATTGGGTTTAATAACATCTATAATTACGAAACTGATCAATTATAATTATTCCTCTGAAGAATAGAATGATGGCTGTGATTGGTTAGGTTCTAACTACGGATGTTATTAAACCAGATTAAGGCCCGATTTCATAATATATGGTTACCTAAAGATTAAAGGTAACCACGAAATTCATAAATAAATTTCATTGATGAATATGTTGGTAACCTTTAATCTTTGGTAACCGCCCTGATTAAAAAAGATGATAGAGTATGATTGAAAACGGTAGGATTTCTATCAGTTTGTATCGTTTTCTATAAGCTCTATCGTCAAGGCTCGCCAGCTTCAGACATGAATCCTATCATTTTTTATCGGATTCTGTAAAACTCGTATTTTATATTGTAAAACTGATTTTATTAAATTTACGACAGAAAATTTTACATTTTTTATCGTACTTTATCTATTGTATACGGAATAGTAAGGTACGTATTGACATTTCGGTTCCTATTGTTATTTAACGAATTACTATTAATCGTATATTAACAACAAAAATTATCTGCAATCTAATTCTATAGGAAAGAAACCTATTCTGTAAGATTCTATCGTTTTATAGCAGATTGGAAAATTCATCGAAATATATGAAATATATGAAAAATGAACAAAATTTTATACACTTCCATTTGATTTTTCAGAATGGTAATACGTATAGGAATGTGTGAAAATCATGATCATCGGAGGTGAATTGCCTATTTTAATTTTAATAACTTCTTAGTAATCAACGAGCGATTATCAAAACTCTTCGATGGTCATTCAGAGTCATGAGCTTGACAATATATGTGTTACGTTCAGCGAACTCCCACAACTTTTTTCTTTCGTGGAGATCTGGAATTCGTTGAAATAAAGAGATAGCTGCAAATAATGAACAAACTGAGTGGTTATAGCCTAGAGAAGACTAAAAATTTTCTGTTCCCACACTAAAGTTTAAAACGAAGAATTCCCACAAAAACTCAATGCTTTTGTGCAACTAGAAAAACAAGCCAATTATCTCAATGTTTAGTAGTGCAACCGAAATTGCTTAGAGCTTGTATCGCTTCATTGGTTTAACTGCAAAGCGTGCGAAGGTCGTTGGAGGTTTCTGTCATGAGCGACAGTAAATTGAAAAGAGATTGTAATATTTACTTTTATTGTTATACCGGGAAACGAAAATATTCCACGCGATGTGGAATTATCATTGGTTATCGCGAGGTGGTCAAGAGCGTTACTTGCATCTCCTGTTACACACGAATACAAATAATGTGCTCAACATTCGTTAAACTCTGATCATCAATTCAAATTTATAACGAAAGCTTTCCCATTTATCAAAACTCTCGTCGAAGGTCGGCAAGTTGATTCTCGGAAGACGCGACGATGACCGAAACGAGTTTTTGAGACCACTTATGTCATGTGCAGCGCGATGCGGTTCGCGGACTTCGTGACCGTCCAGTACCTCAGCCATGTAGTCGGCAACTTTCTGGTAATAATCTTCACACGTCAGCAAGTAGTTCTGAGTGAAGTACGCATAGGTTGCCTTCAATTTCTCGCCCGCAGCTAGCGTAATTTTACAGTCCAGCTCTTGGCATCAAAGGTCTCTTTGAAGATTGCGAAGCGTTGCCGCGTTATGGCATGTGTCATTTGGGCCTGTCCCAGCTTCTTAAAATTAGTAAGAGTGCGAGATATGGCGTCCATCTGCTTTGTATACTCATCAATTTGTCGAGAGATGACATGATTTTCAACGGAAAAGGCACGACTCGGAACGTTCGAGAATCAAATAAAACAATAACTTTCCTTGGCAACGATCCGGCTCAAAGGATCAAAATATGTTTGTGTATGACGCTAGTGTCACCTTGTATGGAAGGCTCACTCGCCAAGGCGGCATATAATAACGACGACTCTCTTTGTTGTAATAATTTAAACTTTATTGTTGAGTCAAATTAAGATTTGTTCGAAGCGGCCGGTAGGCGATGCTGGTAATCCGATAATTGATGCGTTCGGTTAGATGCGTGCACAGGTAATTCGCACTTGATACGACGTTGGATAATTTCTTGTGACCGTTAGAAAGAATGCGTATTGTGAGCATCAACCAGCAAACCAGGAAATTCAGGTAATTCTCGCGCACTGAATGCCCTCGCGGTACGCGTACATCGGTAACCGAAAAAATAAAAAAGAAACAAAAAATTAAAAATTTTATGGTTACAATTACTTTGCGGAATATTTGGTTAAGCTATTTATTTATGTATCGTCGAGTTACCCCAGATTTAAAAAAAACCAGATTTATACGTCAATTTATTGCTGAGAAAATGTAAATTTAGCAAATTTTGATGCATGAAATCAGATTGGTGCCAGACAGAACTCTTAATCTTAAAAATTAGCATCGCATTTTTTTATATTAAATTTAGACGTCACCGATTTTATTTTTACACTAAGAAAACCCGAATCAAAAGATTTAAAACGTTTGTCAATTTTTTTTCAAGAATAAAGTATACGATTTTACACACGCTTAACCTGTGTTGGCTCACATTGGCTGATTTACATCTGTCCTTGAATTAAAAAATTAGAGCCATAGTGACTTTTGAAAAAAAAATTGTTATCTTTCTTATAACCGGAGAGTAACCTTTCTTTTTACAATAAATTCATAGAAAAATGTCGTATGCTTCACACGGCTATTTAATATAATGCATATATTAAAAAAATTATTTAATTTTTTTATACGAAAAAAAATACCCACTTTTTAAAGTCCAAAGTTGAGTTCCATTTCCAATCATATTATATTATACATTTTATAATAGTTTAACTGCAAAAAATCGTTTTGTTACTAAATGTACGTGATAGTGCAACTCTTAAAGAAGAAAAATCACCCCTAAATTGCTGTGCGACTGCACAAAGATGAAGAAATTAAGTTTTCCGCAGGCAGGTTTTTAGTGAACAAATTTCAAATAAATAAACAAATTCAAAGGACTCTTTCAAAACATAATAACAAAACTCAATCAACGGGCGAAGTAAGAGTCAACCACATTTTTTAATTTTTACATAAAATTATATATTATATTAAACGCGATGAAACATCACGCCAAAAAATAAGACTATAAACTAATACATTACAAGTAACAAGTTTCGGCTACCAGTTTGAGCCCTCTTCAGACATTAGTACAATGAAAAGTAACAGAACAAATTCAATTGTCGCAAGTATTCGTATATTCCGAATAATCACAGTTCGGGTGAGTCTTGATCTCGAAACATAATTTCCGTATGGTTGAACAGTCAAAAGTATTAAAATTGTCATTGGTGAAGTTCTAGTTAATAAAGCGGATAAATTAAAAACAAGAAACGTAACGGACAAATACGTATAAATAAAATAATATAAAATACCGAAAGTCAAACAAAATCCATAAAAATTATTTCATAAAAAACTCACCAGAAATCATGTGTAAGAAGTTTGAATTAATATGTCCAAAAAGAACTAAAAAACTTTCACAAGGGGACCTGACCGAAAATAGCGCGGTATTTTCGTCCTGTGTCCTCCCATCGCGGAGGGCGGGCGTGCCAGCGCTTATCATTATTTTTTGGCGATTTTTGCTATTACGTTTTGCCAGATATTATTTTTTTTTAGCGTTTCTTTAGAATTTTATAATCGGCTGCTGCGAAAAACAGTGTTATGATAAAGCTGCATCTCATCACTCCTCAGCGGACGTCGAGGAAAAGGACTGGAGACGCACCTGCAAAGGCAAAAGGTCATTACGGGAAGGGAGAATGCCGGGTGACACTCTTTATCATAAAATTCTATTGCGAGCGTTATCCTTTTGTCGGATTCTTTCTAGGAAATTGTCCAAAAAGGGCACAAGACATGAGAGGATAGTACCACCCCTTGCCATTAATCGAGCATGGGAACCCCGCTGTCGGTGCCGCGAGGAGAACTGTGCAGGACAAACTCCCTGCCGCAGAAGAGAGAATCG